AACAACAACAAAACAAATGAGTCAGAACTGACTCAAAGACACTTAATAACAACAACCACAAGGACCTTTTAAACTGTATTTCATGGAGCTCACAGAAATGGAAATTTTAAGTCTGACACAGCTTACTTTACTATTTAAGCCAAAGTAAAAAATGTTGTAAAAATCAAAGTTTCTCTGGGACACACAATGACCACCAACTCCAGAGGGGATCTACTGGGCCAGTTAAATTCAAAGCAGAGAGGTCAGCTCATATTGCATTGGGCAAATCTACTGTAAAACACCTCTTTAAAATATTAAGCAAAGATGTCACCTTGAGAACTAAGGTGCACCTGTGACCCAAGCCATAATCTTTTCAAGTACCTCATACGCATGCAAAAACAACATGATGAATAAGGAAGGCAGAAGAATTGATGCATTTGAATTACGTTTTTGGTGAAGAATACTGAATATACTATGGACTGTCAGAAACAAACAGATCTGTCTTAGAAGAAGTATAGTAAGAATATGCTTTAAAAGCAATGACAGTGAAACTTCATCTCATGTACTTTACACATGTTACCAGGAGGGACCAGTCCCTGGAGAAGAGCATTATATTTAGTAGAGTAGAGGGTCAACAGGAAAGCGGAAGGCCCTTAATGGGATAGACTGGCACAGTGGCTGTAACAATAGTTCAACCATAACAGCTGTAAGGACGGTACAGGACCAGGCAGCGTTTAGCTCTCTTGTATACAGGTTTGCTATGACTAGGAACCAACTTTCTCTTGTGAAATAAAATGCCTTTTTTTTTGCCCATTTTTAAGTTGGTTGCTTCTTGGTATGTTGTTACGTGCCATCAATTGAAAAGGAGCTCAGTATCATTAGTCATCAGAGGAATGTAATTCAAGCCACACGTAGTAAAACCACATACCTACTAGTGTACTAAACTGTGACAACTGAGCAGCCTACATTCTGGCAGGGATGTGGAGCAACTAGAACATTCACGTTGCATGAAGAGCACAGGCTGGTACAGTCACTCTGGAAAAAAACCTGGCAGAGCCTTCTCACTAAACATAAATGCCTGTGACCAGCACCCCCCTCTCCTAAGTGCACGCTCATGTCTGTCCGGACAAGAACGCTCACAGTAGCACGGGACCAGTCCAGACAACTACCGGCAGCAGGAGAGTCAGTGTAGGACAGTACACTGAGAAGAGACCACGGAATCAGTCCTCTGGTCTCCTGGTCAAGTTCAAGGCATTTCCTTCTACCTGCTACTCTTGTACCCAGATCTGATCTCCAGATCTTCTGACCTCTCTGCAATCATATTCTCTACCCTTTACTCAGTATCCAACTGCATTTCCTCTGGACAAAGGAACTGCTAGAGCATATTCCCCTCTCATTTATTTCTAAGTCTCCTTCCAGACAACTACAACTCAGAAAACCAGACTGGGCCACAGAGTGGAAAGCATGAATTAAGAACTGCCCTCCACGGCAGCAAATGCCAATCTCCTGAGACGCTGCTGGCCTAGTTTGCTACTGTGTTTGAAACTACTGCAAACTCACATCAAGAATACTCTATAGTTCGAAGAGGGGAAATAATACTAAAATGTTTGACTGTCTTATGGATATTGGTTTCCCTTGCCTACTATTGTAAAATAGACACTTGAGTGGGATAGTAAGGAATGTTGGCAAACATGATTACAGAAAACTTGTAAGCCCATCTTCAGCCTATAATTGATTAGAATACCTAAAAGGAGTTCTAGAACTTGCCTAGTGAAATAGGCCTCTTGCAAAGCCTTTGCAGAGTATACGACCTTAGGTGGAATCCTGAGTCCCATCCAGAACCTTATGAGGTAGGACATTCCCACTAGAAAGGACAAGCAGACTAGCCTGGAACAGCCAGAGCAACAGAAGATGCATCTTCAAAGAAAGATCGTCAGGTAAAACCCAAACAAAAATGTCAGCATGACTGGCTACTACAAGAATAAGCAAGCTGTTCGCCAGAAGACATTAAGGCAATCAATCAAGTGCCTTCAGAACAAATTTCCCTCTAAGACTGAAACTCAAAGGGAACACATAAACAGGCATGTAAGCTTGCTGGCGACCACACTGGTCTACTCTGAGTAGAAGAGGGAAAAAGGCAGCAATGAAGAAATGGGCTGAGTTCAACCGCAGTCTATTGGCTCCCGTTGACCTGGAGAAGAGAGAGAGAGAAGAGGAAGGGCTGGTTGCTCCAAAGTGTGGTAAGACCTGGGGACACTTGAGCCCATGGACAAGGACACAGCCACAGAGGGCTAGAGCTGAGAGTGAAGCATCCAGCTGATATGAAGTGAGGGGAGATGCACATAAACACCCAAACTTGCAGATAGTAT